AAATTGAAACTGGAAGAAACTAAAAAAACATTCTTAACAGATATGGACAAAAAATAAACAAAAAAGGTTACTGCATTCTAAAAGACTTGCAAAAGAAAATATCCTAAATAGACTCACTGGGAAACCATATAAGTAATCCTTAACAGATGTTGAATACATTGTTTATAAAACACAATATAACTGTGAACCTATTTCATACAAAAATCAATCACCTTCTTAAGGGCTAATATGACTTCTTTCATTAAATGATGTAATCCTTGGTAATATACAAATCAAACCCAATACTACTAGGAAAACTTTAAATTAGTTTAGATGCCCTGTAAAATATGTCAATCACCCAGTCTTTTTCTAAAATAAACTCTTAATGTTAATTCATACAAAAATTATTGCTCAGCTTTCCAAATAGCCATATTAATTTTTTGTAATATTCTGCATCCTTTTAAAAATATTGGAAACATGAAGAAAATAAAGATCCTAATACCTTATTTCCCATTCTTGGTACATGCTTTCTAGTCCTTTATCCACATATATGTTTTCCTTAGTAAATTTCGAATAGCAGAAAATACATACCTTTTAAGTGGGTCATTTCAACCTATCATATTCCAAAAATTATAATTAATCACCAAAGTGCAGTGTCAGTAGTTTTTATTAGCAGTAAAATTAGTCAAGTTACTTATTATCTACGTGAACCTTTCTTTTAAAATGTTACAATCGACTCACTTTCACTCAGCCTGGTGGAAGAGAAAAGACACAGGCACTGGAAAGAAAAGGCCCTACACGTTGCAAACCCTGATTTTCTCAATTAAAAGGAATGTAACTTGTCTAAATTACCCGCTCTCAGCGATTGAGCCGTTTTGATAATTCAATAAAATGTTATCGGTGAGGGGAGCACCCACTGCTCACAGTAGAAACTCCAAATATGAGCTCTTTCCTTCTCAATAATAAAGTGGGAGAGGGGGAAGGGGGTGAATACGACACCACTACAGGACACTGGACTTACAGTAACCACAACAAACAAAGGTGCTATTGCAGAGCTGTTTTTCATTTATAATCTCCCTTATTGCACAACTCAAGTGAACACCTGGCGAGAGTGCAGGGCATCACGACGCCAGAGAGCCGGAGCACAACGCCCGTTGGTCGAGGTACACCAGCCCGCACGGGATCTGGGGATGCACCAGGATGCCTTTTTACTGGTAGTTGGCGGCGTCCCTAGGTGAGCGCCAGGCGTGACCAACGAGTTATCGGAGTTTACGGAGAACGCCAAGGACGTCTAAGAATCACGAGGAGCAAGGGGGGCAATTTGAGCACGGCTCCTGGCCTAGGACCAGAACCCGGGGGGCTTGCTACGAACCCGGGAAGACCGGGCGGGGGCGGCCTGGGAAAGTCGGGGGCGGTGAAAAGCCGTGGGCGGGGGAAGGGGAACGGCAGGGGGAAACCCGCTCCAGCTTAGAGGGAAGCGCGATAGCTGGGGGGAAATCAGGAAATTCCGGGGCAGGACGGCCGGGGACGTGAGAAACAGGGAGGCTGCGGTGGAAAAGAAGGTGGCGGTGTCGCCTTCAGAGAAGGGCCGGCGGTGGAAGCCGGGCGGCGGCGGGCGGGAAGCGCGGACGTGGATGTGAGGAACCGGACTCGAGGGGTCGACGGTCTGAGAGGACCCGGAAAGCGGGGAGAGGGCGAAAGGGAACGTGGCAGGGGTGGCGCAGGGCACCGCGGTACCTGCAGAGATCGTCCAGGACGCTGCCGGGAATCTCCACCCGTTTGGTTTCCATGATGAGGACCCACAGTAAGAGCAGGGCATCCCGGCTCCGCGCGGCCGGGGACCGAGGACTCTGCGCTGAGTCTCCCGCTCGCCCGAAAGGGAGCTGCGGTGCTAGCGGCCAGGACCAGAGGGGGAGGGAGCGGGACCCGCTCACTTCCGTCCCGCTCCCTCAGCCGTGGACCCCGAGGCTGGGCCAAGGCGCGGGGCGGAGCTCCCGGAGCCACGCCCCTGCTCTGCTTGAAAGGCCCAATAGCAAGCTGCAAAATCGGGAGTCCTTACAGGCTAAGCCAATGGGACGTTCGTTTATTGTCGGGTCGTCCCCAGCCGGTTTTCAAGTGGCTCAGGTGCAGCTCAAGAAAGCAACTTCCCGCCGCCTTCAACAGCGCCCAGGGGTGGTAGGCGCGTGCGCGGTGTCTCTGGTTTTCAATTAAAGAGCAGTCCAGAGCGCCCAGGCTTTCCCCATAGACGCAATTTGGCGAGATCTGAGGAGTCCTGGTGGCGCCAGGCCGACAGTTAGAATCCAATAACGCTCTGCGGAAGAAAGGTGAGGCGTCCTGCCCATCTTACAGTCTCGGAAATACAAGAGAACCGTTCTACTCTACCCTGTAGGGTTCGCTGTGAATCGGAATTACTGGATAGCCGTGAGTTTGGCCTTGAGCATCTTCTCGAGGACTCTGGGTAGTGCCAGCCGTTAAACACCAAGCAAACTGCGGTTAGAAATAACCAGCTTCTCACCAGGAAAAACTTCAAAAATTCAAACTCATTGCTATCGAGTATATGCCGACTCCGCGACCGTACAGGTCCCATGGGTGCTTGAGATAGTAACTGTACGGAGTAAAATGTGGGTTTTCGCCCACGGAGCGGCTGGTGATTTTGAAATCTTGGACTTAGCAGCCCAACTCGGAACCACTGTGCCAGAAAGCGCATGACAGACTGCTCCTCTACGGAGCACAACCTTACCAACGCAGGCGTAGAGCTCCGAAGGTAGATTGAGGTAGAAAAGAAGAATGAGTGAAAATGGTAAACGCTGGGAGGAGCTGGGAAGAGTACTGTTACAATTTGGGGGCTTGCAATCCGTATCATGAATCAAAATGTATGAATTGTTGAAAGGTAACCCAATTTGTAACTTTCATCAAAATCACGTTAATAAAAAGGTATTTTGTTTGTTTTTGTTTTAATTACAGCCTTGGAAAACCAATGAACAGTTTTAATCTGCCCCATAGGACAACAAGAAGTTTGAACATTCTTTCCATAACAGAGATCCTCATATCTGCCTGGCAGATCCCAAGAAGTTAGCCAAATATCTCTCACACACACACACACCTCTAAGTCTGGGGCTGTTCTTCCTTTCACTTACAAGCCACTGAGGTGGCTCACCTCCACCTTTCAGCATCCAGCCCCACATGGTGGCATTTAGTGAGATATCAGAAAATACTGACTGAACCTGAACAAGTGGTTTGCATCCTACGTTTCCTACACACTCACCCCTCCAACCTAAATCATTCCTTATCTTGCTTAATGGAGTTGATTCCACTCAGGATCCTTGAAGAAACTAGATCCATCCTTTCATCTTTCTCTTCTACTTTACACCCCATTACCCCATATATGACTGCTTTCTCAAGAGTTCAGTCTACCTGTGTTAGTCTGGGTACTTTAGAGAAACAAATCCACAGAAACTCATGTATAAGACAGTGTTTTACATAAAGGTTAAGTGTGCATCAAGAAAACATCCCAACCCAGTGCTGCCCAAGCCCACAAGTCCAACATTAACCTATACTGTATGTCCAACACCAATCCACAAAATCCTCCATCTCACAAAACAGAGGCAATGATGCTGACTGCAGGAGGAAAATGGAGTCAGTGATGTGTAAGCTGCTCAGTGCTGGCAGGGATCTCCACACGGCTGCTCCAGCACTCAGAGTTGCATGGGGGTAGGTCCATGTGGCTTCTTCTTGGGGATGTCTTGCAGGAAGTCAGTTTTGCAAGCTAAAGCAGAGAACTTTTTTTTTTAAGGGGAGAGTGCTAACGC